TTAAGGTATTAGATATTTTTAGAAAAAATATTATTTTTAACGCATTTTATTTTTGAGTATAATCTTTGAAAATATCAAAAAATAGTTTCATGTCATAATATAGTTGTTCTAGTTAATTAAGATTAATTTTACAATTTTATGGTATTATTTTAGAAAAGACATTAATATTTTAGCCAAATTGCAAGAATTATAGAATTAAAAGCCAAATTTATAACCCAATTCACAAAGCCCAATCTTCTTGACCCATTCACCCACTAACCCAACCCATAACCTTTTAATCCTAGACCTCTATTTGAATTTAATCCTATGGCCAATATTAATTGCCAAAAAAAAACAAAAAAAAACATACAAGACAGAACCTACACCATGAAAAACCCTAGGAGAACCTGAAAAAAAAAAATCGACAGAATACCATAGGAACCCCTTCAGCCATCAACCATCCCGGCCAACGACCACCCATCTCCACCACTCAGCCGACCCTACACCACCAGCCTAGCCTCCATTGACCCCTTAATCTGAACAACATAGACACCACCCAAAACCGCCGCACACACATACCCCTAAGCATCAACAACTGCTCGTCCTCACCAACCACGCCGTCGCCGCCAGCAACTCCAACCAAACGCTCTGCCAAACTACCCCCGGGGCCCTGACCTCCAGCCTTGACCTGCTGCTTCACTTCACAAAAAAAAAAAAAAAAAACCCCCCTGAGCAGCCATAAGTGACAACCTTTGAGTAACACCTTGAAAATCCGCCACACATATACATATGGTCGAAAAACCAAGAAAACCAAACAAGAAAAAGAACATAAACAGATCCTCAGCAGATTATTGCTCATGTTTCCATTTTTTGATTTGCTCGTTAGTTTCTATTCGAGGCTTGTTTTGAAGCGAGTCAGTGGAGGCCGACTTTGAGGTGTCCATTCGATTTTCCGGTCCAGCCCCGTTCTACAGTTTTGTGCGAGTGCTTGTAAATCTTAGGTTCTACAATGAGATCCCATCTCCTATCTTGTCCGTCCCTTTTTGATAATATTAGATGTTTGTTTCTTATGCTTCTCTGTTGTTTTTTTAGGTTTGAGTATTTCATTTTCAATATGTTAAATGTGTTTGATTCCTTGTCTTTGATTATTAACTTGCATCAAAGAAGTAACGTTAGTTGTTAAGTTGGATTAAGAGATTGTTCGCCTAAATTGAATCTTAAGAAGCTGTGTAGTTGATTTTTAACTTGTACAAATTAGGTAATGAAACAAATAGGTCGCGGGATTTGGGCAAACAAATTAAAAGTGTTCTGGCCTTAAAAATAGTTTTTTTTTGTTTTATCTTTATTTATTTTAAAGTCGCTAGGAGCATGCTTAGGCCGACCACAGCTGAGTAGGCAAACTTTAGTATTTTGTTAATTTTGAGGCGAGAGATCGTTCTCGTGGTTAAATTTATTCGGGGAATGGCCCGTAAAGTTTATATATATTATTAGTCGGGGTATGCCCCGAAGAGCTTTGTAAATATTTTGGAAGCCTTGACGAGCATGGTGGAGAAGTCGTAGTATAGATTAGCTTATTTTTCTTTTCTTTTCCTTTTCATTTTCTTTCGTTTAGGTGGGGACGACCTCGAGCCTCTTGTGTGTTTATTTTATTTCTGTGTGTTTTACCTCAATTTGAATGTTTTGAAAGCCGACTAGATCAAGTATGCAACCGTACTAGTTACGGGACTTGGGGAGTGCCTAACACCTTCTTCCCGAGTCAAATGAACCCCCTTACCCGAATCTTTGGTGCGAACTTATGTTTTGGAGTTCAAAGTGTTTTAAAGGAAAATTATTTTTAAAAAAAAGGTGACCTGGTACACCGAAATCAATATCAGGTGGCGACTCTGAGTTATTTCCTTTTAAACACAATATTTTTGTCACTTTCTAATTGGAAAATCCTTTTCAAGCTCTACTAAATCTCTTTTATTTATTTAAGAGGGTTAGTGGAGGTTTGGTTAAAAAAGGGGTGTGACAATATTATTTGATGAAACTTAAACTTATAAAAGGTGGTGTTAATTGAGTTTAGCTTTTTCAAGGAAGAAACAAAAAAGAGGAGATAATTTTTTAAAAAAAAGTCACAAATGTAAAAAATGAGGAATGATTTTCACAACGAGATACTTATCAATGGTTGTATGAGTGACGAAGGATTCAATAATCAATTCGCCATATACAAGGTGCATAATTTGATATATAGAGCTCGTTTGGGTTAGCTGATTGTAAATAGTTGATAAGCTTGAACTGCTGAAAAGCATTATTAAATGTTGAAATTGATTATTTTAAATAAGCATTTACGTGTTTGATAGACGTGCTAAAACTGATAATAAGCAATTGATATGTTTGATAGAAAAGTGTTGATAAGTTGTTCTTTTATTAGAATAACTAAACTATCCTTAAATACTTTACAAAAGATTATAAATTAAAAAATTTCTTTGTAAAGAAAAAGATGAACAACGAATATGGAATGAAAAGAAAGTTAGAAAATTTATTTTGGGAAAAATATTTTTTGAATAAGAAATATTATTAGAGATAAACTAGTAAAAGCCTTGGTCAAATTAAAAGTACTTATAAGCTAAAAAGTCATAAGTTGGGGGTGACCAACTTATGACTTATAACTCATTTTAGCTTATAAGCGCTTGACTTATAAATACTTTAGTTGTTTACCAAACACGTAGATAAATAAATTATGCTTATAAACTAGTTTGACCAGCTTATAAGATTAGTCAAACACCTCATAATCATTTTAAATATAATATATAGGTATATACTTTTTTTTAGAATTTTTAGCCAATAGCAAGAGTACACGTGCACAAATATTTAGCACATGATCAATCCGCCACTAAGGGAGATAGTGACAAATTAACCCACGTATAGTGCGTGGGAGACTACCATCAGGGGCGGATCGAGCGTAGTGGTGTCGGGTTCAACTTAGTACTTTCGACGCAGATTTATATGTAAAAATTATTTGAAATATGTACAAATAGTAGCTATGGACCCATAACTTTAACAATAATAGATTCAATTCTAAAAATTTTTAGAGATTGAACCCATAAAATTCAAATCCTGAATCTGCCTCTTACTACCATTGATACCATTAGGGGTCGTTTGGTTGGAAAGATATTATCCCAGGATTAGTTATCCCGGAATTAGTTATTCTACCTTTTCATGAAAATACTGCAATTTTCTCCCAATCAAACATGAGATAAATTTTTCTTAAATTTAGTCTGTGGATTAATTATTCCTTGTCCCTCGTACCAAACGAGCCCGTAGAGTGTAAGCCTTATCTTCAGCTTGTTTCTAGATACTTAATACTTTTCCGTTTCAGGGTCAAAGGGTTCGAACGTCTGTTCCTTTGCATATAAAGATCATATAATTTTTGAGCGTTGAATTCTCTGCCATACTTAAAGTATTAATACTTAAAGTATTAATTATTCTTGATGGTTTCTTTCTAAGGATTATTTAAATGTAATAATCATAACATAATTGGAATTACAGCTTACTTAGCAATTGTAATTACACTTCAGAAAAATAACATAAAATACAAATTTGTAATCTTTTAAAAATCCCTTCCTTCTTTTATCTTGTTTTCCTCTATTATGCACAAATCATCCTCACCTAAAAATACATACTAAAAAATAGCTCTTTTAAAGGGGAAAAAAGGAAAAAGAAAAGAAAAAAGAGTAGATGTTTGGTAAAAAGGAAAAGATAGCTGTGTAGCTGGCAATGACGGAGCCATATAGCTTCAAAGGATGTCGATCTTATGGGCGAAAATTTTCACTGTATATCTACTATGATCTCTTTAAATTTTTTGGGTATTTATTTTTCAAATTTTGACGTATTTTAGTGTAAACGCTGATTTCGCTACTGCTGACTGGGGTCACGGGACTATATAAATATTAGACCAAACATTGAATATGACCTAAATGGGGACAGTTAAACTAATGAGAAGTTTCGTTTTCAGCCTGTGCAAAGTGTAGGAAAATCAATTAGAAAAGTCTTCAAGTCCATGCAAATTTGGCGACTAAATAAGTTGACCGTCTACTAATTCTTGGGTCGTTGAAAAGAAAAATCTACTATAATAATAATAATAATAATAATAATAATAATAATAATAATAATAATAATAATAATAATAATAATTCATATTTATTGTTGAATTTAGACTCTTCAAAGTCTTATGCGTCACTCCCACTATCTCAATGGTCCATCCACAGCTACTATCCGAGCCTGCTACGCCATCACGTAATAAAAAATGTATCTATATATATATATATATATAGTCTTAAAAAGTTATAAATATATTTAAAAACTTATAAATGCACATTTACCCTTATTTTCACAAATAATAGTTAAGTGATGACGTATGCAAAAATCTGCACAAGTTATGTCGATTTATTGTCACAGTTTAACTTGTACAATTGCCTGAGTCGTAAGGAGTCGTTTGGTACAATGGTGAGATATCTCATGGGATTAGTTATCCCACCTTTTACATGGGATAACTAATCCCACCATTTTAGTGTAAAGTTATCTTGCAATTAGTTAATATACCAAACCAAACATGGGATTATTATTCTTATCCCATGTACCAAACAACCCCTAAGGTTCTAGAACTTTACTAAAAATTTATTTTATTTTCAAATGGTGTCAATATGCATATTATTTTTCTGAAAAATATCATGTCTAAATATATAAATCAATTTTTTTTAAGGAACGGTATCTCATGATGACGCCAATTGATTTTAAGTGTCTCTTCTACTAATAATAAGAAGTGGAATAATATGTTGATTTAAATCGTATTCCCTCTTTGGGTCAAACATCAACAGCCTACCAAGTCAATAAAATCAACTTTGTATTTTATTTTAGTTTTCATTTAATCGTAGTCGTAGCTTTCACCCCAACTACTACAACTTTTCTTCTTTATTTCCTCGAAAATTCACACGCATAATTAAACTCGTATATAAACTCTGTACATACCCTTTTCTTTCTCACAACCATCTTCTCTCTTAAACTGCAAAAATCCCCTTTCTCTTCTCTGAATATAAATTTTCTAATTTTTTTCTTGAATTTTCCACCTTTTTCTTTCTGGGAAAAATATAAATCTGTTTCTATTAAATTTGAAGATGAATTCATTTAGATTAATGAGCCTCTCATCTATTATTGGTTTTTTGTTGTTGGCTTTGGTTGAGTTCAGTTTTGGCCAAGGCATGGCTCCTTCTTCAGCTCCACCTCCTTCCAATGACGGTAAACATCTTCTTTTACCGTAGTATAATTAATTTTCACGCTATTAATTTACTCAAAAAGTAATTACAAATAACAACTTATAACATCAGGAATAATAACCTAAAAAATAAGGTAAGCAACAACATAACAGGTTAAACTGCATTGATAAGAAATCTTATACTAATATATAATTAAAAAATTAGGCAAATAATTTTTTTTACACTAATAGTACGTAGAGCTTAAACTATCAAAATCCTCTTCTTCTTGGATTTTTCATAAATATACTTTAAATGTGAAGAAGGGGAACTTTGGAGCAACAATCAAGTTGTTTCTGTGTGACCTATAGGTCACGAGTTTGAGCCGTGGAATCGGCCACTGTTGCCTACATCACATCCCTTCGGGTGCGATCCTTCTTTGGATCCTGCGTAAATACGGGATATTTTGTGCACCAATTTTTTTTTTTACACTTTAATATATGAAGAAATTGATTTGGTAATTTTATTGCAGGCACAGTGATTGATCAAGGGATTGCTTATATTCTTCTACTTGTTGCACTTGCGATTACATACTTGGTCCATTAGTACAATTATTGTATTGTTTTTTTCTATTTGGCTACTCGATTTTTTTTCATTCATCATTTGAATTCTTTATGTGATTATCTCCTGCTATTCATAATGGAGAAATTTCAAAGTTTTGTGAAATAAGGAAAGAATACTTATTTGTGATACAAAAGTTCATTTTTCTAAGTTATTCCGAATTATTGTAGCTAATTTGTTGCGCCTTTTTGTTCCTTGTTAAACTGGTTTGACCCGTCTAGATGAATAGCTTGAACAACAAAAACGTCCAGCAATATATATGTGTGTGTGTTCGCAATTGAATTTGGGCTTTAACTAAAGTCTTAAAATTTATTATAGTAGTTTTTATTTCTAAAATATAACATATATAGTTCTATGAAAACTAATCAAACGAGTAAATAAAATATAAATGTCTAAATTCTGATGATACTCTTCAATTATTTATATTTAAAATTTGATAATAAACTTTCACATACCTCATATCCACCAAGATTAATTGCACATTTCTTTTTTGCATCACCCACATTTCTTGCTCTCTTTTTTCTCCTTATCGATCAATTTTTAAAAACTATTATCAATAACATCAAATCTTATATCCCCATAATCCCTATTTGTTAATATTACACATAATAGCTCCACCGTTGGACTCGTAATTTTTAAGTTTTCTTGTAATTAGGAATTCAAAATGAACCACATTAATTATTTGAAAAATAATACAATGGGCACCAAAATATCAGGATATAGACAATAAAAGGAAAACACCCATAAAGAAAACTAACTATAAAATCCATAGAAAAAACACTAAAATGGCAAGTACATGGGCACAAGGCGGGCCATTCATTGGTTTTATACTCTGCTTGCAATGACACTCTTAAAGTGGATTTCAATAACATTGCCTTATTGCCAAGGGACCGACCATTATATTAAGGGTGTTATTTCTGTTAATTGAATCACCGACATTGTTGTTCAACCCCTAACTAAAGCAGTGCAACCACGGGCGTATCGGCGTTGGCGATTATGGGTGCTTCATCACCCATTGCTTTTGTCGCAAAACTAATAAAATTATACTAATAACTTGTCAAAACTTGATATATTAGATTGTGAGCACCCAGGAACCAAAAGTGTAATTGGGTGCTATGGTTATTGGGGTTGGTAAACTGCGGCTAAAATCCTCAGCTGTAGTACTTTTCTTTCCCTTTTTTTTTGTCTTTATTTGCTCTCTTCTTTTACTTTCTTTATTTCATTTTCATTTTTGCTCCAAATATCACGCCATTTAGCCCCTCTTCTTTTTATTTATTTGCTTACTTTCATGTTTCACTTAGAATGCATTTTTTATTTCTTCTTTTTTCCTTTTAATTTCTCTTTTTCATTTCATTTTCTTCTTCTCATATTTACTTTCCAGAACTCCCCAAATTCATTTTATTTATATTTGATTTTTGTAGCAATAGTGGGTTAATAGAGAGAACCTAGGAGTAAAATTTGATGTTCAATTTTTAAATTCTTACCACTATACTTTTAAACTTATATTATAGATTAAATTTTTTATATATGTTGAGATTTTGATGATTTTTTACGTATATATTCATGCTTTGTATAGAAAACTTGAGTTTAGTGACCCATTGATAATATGTTCTATACGTCTACTTGCGCTAAATATAGTGGAGCATTGAAACCAAAATTTTCACTAAGGAAATTCTACATATGAACACATAAAAAATTCATGGTATTTAATATCTGTTATAAATAGAATTTTATATATGGTGAATGTCTATATTTAGAGAGATTCTAGGAATTATTACTTGGTGGTTAAGTCACTCTTTCCCTATAAATAGAGGGTTCTATTCTATTGTAATTCATCCCAAAAAGTAATAAGAATTCTCTCTCTCTTTCTTTGCAATATTCTTCTACATTGTTTTATTTCACGTTATCGGCATGAGACTCTACCGTCTCAAGAAGCTCTTTGAGAAGATTACGGTATAACTTTTCTCCTCTTTTAATTATGACTGAAAATCCATTTAGATGCAATGAGTCTTGGAGAGGCCATTAAAGAGAAGAATAAAGAATCCACCCAAGATTGTGCTAAGGCTTGATTTTCTTGCGTCATCGCCTTGATGAAGGGTTGAAAATAGAATATCTTACAGTCAAAGATCCGCTTGTTTTGTGGAATGGCTTAAAGGAAAGATATGAAAACTTAAAGTTGGTCACTCTTCCACAAGCACGATATGATTGGGCTCATATGAGACTCTAAGACTTTAAGTTTGTTTCTGAATATAATTCTACGATGTTCAGAATTACTTCTAAATTAAAAACTCTGCGGAGATACTATCACTAACTATGATATGTTTGAAAAAACGTTTACAATGTTTCATGCCTCCAATATGGTCCTGCAACAGCAGTACAGAGAAAAAGATTTTAAGAAGTACTCTGAGTTAATTTCTCTCTTCCTTGTGGCTGAACGAAACAACGATTTGCTCATGAGAAATCACGAAAATCAACCCACTGGGTATACATCATTGCTTGAAGTGGATGATATGTATTCCCATTATGCTAAGCGTGAAAAAGGCCGTGGCCCTATTCGTGGTCGTGGTCATGGTCGTGGCCATGGCCGTAGACAAGGAAGAAATTATCTTGCTGTTAATCACCCCCTAAAGAAAAATAACCACCAAAAGTGGAAAGGGAAAAATGAGAAGCCAAAGGCAAATAGTTCAGAAATTGAATGTTATCGTTGCGGTGGAAAAGGGCATTGGACAAATATTTATCGTACATCAAGACATTTGGCTGAGCTATATCAAACATCTCTAAAGAATAAAGGCCCTGAAGTTAATTTTGTCTCTAACAATGATTTTGACATCACCCACTTGGATGTGGGATTTCTTGGAGCACCCTAATGGGAAAATAGACCACTTAATCGTTGATGGATCCGTGGTTAAAAATAATTGAGTAGTTTGATTTTTATTTTATCCTATTCGTAGTAGCTAGTGGATAAAAATCATGTAATCACTATCTTTTACATGAGTAGTAGTTATTATTATCAATTAATATTATTTGTTTTATGGAATAGTCTTAGTTCGTTTTGATTAAATAAAGCTCTAGTATTCGATTTAAATAACATTTTAGTTGCTTAGTTTTCAAGGATAGTTAAGTGATTATTTTGACATCAACTATATAAGAAGACGATAACTTAAACATCGTAAACTAACGTATGTGGCTTGTCTATTTCTGTTGTACATACGTATCTAACAAAAAAAGCAATAATCTAGCGGCATAAGTCCAAAATTTAGACATTTTATACATGAATAAGTAATCATCATTTCATCTTACAAAAAGATGGCAATATAAACAACTATTTTAAATGTGTCTCTTTTATTAAAATAACAGTTTGGTCATTAGAGAATAAATTTTTCATTATTTACTAGTAGTAGCAAATTTAATTGTTTTTGTTCTCCACCCAAAAGGAGTATACTTAAATGCTAGTATTATATTATTATGATTAACACAGTTATACTTAAATGCTAGTATTATATTATTATGATTAACACAGAAAATTAGTACATAGTTCGATAGTAGTTTGGAAAAATATGCTGCACTTTTAATATTTGTGTTGAAGCAAATTGTTTGTAAGCCTAGTTTATTTATCTGAAAATACAAATATTTATTTGTATATTTCTTTTTGTATGTCAACTCATGCAAAGCAAATATGGATATCCCACAAAACAAACTTGGATCTAAATTCAATTGTAAAAATATTTGTTTAGTTGATTCATGTACGACACATACAATATTCAAAGAGAAGAAATATTTCTCTCATTTAAGTATGTGTAAGACAGATGTTATTGTAATGACCCAAAAAGTCACCACTTGATTTAAAAGTTAATTCTGTGTTCTGAGGCCTTAAAAATCTCATTTTATCTCACCTCGATTTGCATGTGCGGTTCGGACGTATATCCGGAACGCTTTTATGTGAAAATTTGATAAAAATGTTAATTTTACCTTTGAAATTAAATTTAAGTTGACTTCGGTCAATATTGTAGGTAAACGGATCCGGGCCCGTAATTTGATAGCCCCGGAGGGTCCGTAAGAAAATATGAGACTTGGGCGTATGCCCGAAATTGAATTCCGAGGTCCCAAGCCCGAGAAATGAATTTTTGAAGAAAATTGTTTAACTGAAATTATAAGAGTTTTTGAAAATTTAAAGATGTTTGAATTTGATGGTATCGGGCCCGTATTTTGGTTTCGGAGCTCGGTACTGGTCTTATATGTTATTTAAGTTGTGCCTGTAAAATTTGGTAAGAAACGGACTTTATATGACGTGAATCGGGCCCTCGGTTGTGAAAATTTGAACTTAAGAGTTATTGAGATTTTTCTTTGATTTTGATGCTAAACTCGTAATTCGAGGCGTTATTTTGACAATTTGATCGCACGAGTAAGTCCGTATGATTTTTTAGGGTTGTGTGCGTATTTGGTTTGGAGCCCCGAGGGCTCGGTGAGTTTCAAATAGGCCACGAGATGTTTTTACACTTACAAAAGTTGCAGGTTTTGCTGTATCTGATGTCTGATGCACCATGCTTCGCGATCGCGTAGTCACTCCCGCGATTGCGAAAGGGAAGCAAAGCTGCGGAGGATTTTACCCTATGCGAACGCGAGACCCAGGTCGCAAACACGGAGCATGGGGGGTTTTCTTTACGCGAACACGACCGGTCAATCACGAATGCGTAGCTTTAGGATGGGCTGGTCAGGGAATCTAGGGAGAACTAGGCGAACACGACCCCTTTATCGCGAACGCGAAGGTAGGGCTGGGCTAAGCCTTCGCGAAAGCGAAGATTTTCTCGCGATCGCGTAAGTCCTCAACTGGAAGCTCTTCGCGAACGCGACAGTGCTCACGCGAACGCGATGAACACTGTCGCCCAACACTTGAAACAGTAGCAAAATCGGGAATTAGCCCACATTTTCATATTTTCAAAACTAGTGAGCATTGAGGCGATTTTCAAGAAGCAAGTTCTTCCCCAAAGTATTGGTATATGATTCTAAACCTTTTTCTTTCGATTTCCCTTTGCATTTCATCAAACTTCATCCAAAAATCTAGGGTTTTTATGGTAGAAATTGGGAATTTGGGTAGAATTAGGGCTTTTTGAATAATTAGAAATTAGACCTCGTTTTGGGGTCGGATTTCGAAACTAATTACATCGGGCTCGTGGGTGAATGCGTGATCGGGTTTTGGTCCGAACCTCGAGTTTTGACCAAGCAGGCCCGAGGTCGATTTTTGACTTTCTGGAAAAAATGATAGAGAACCTATAATTAAGCATTGAGTATAAATTCTTTAGCATTTATTGATATTGTTAAATTAATTTGGGTTAGATACAAGTAAATTGAAGGCGAATTCTAAAGGGAAGGCGGTGTTTGAGGCTTGAGTTGGCCGTGGAAGTTCGAGGTAAGTGTTTGGTCTAACCTTAGCTTGAGAGAATAGGTATTGTGCCTTATTTGATATGTGCTAGTGTAGTATACGACGTATAGGTATTGTGACAAGTATCTATACATTGGTATCAAGCATGCTCGTGAGTCTTAAATCGTGATCATTGTGTTTCTTAATAAGTACTACAATTACCTAAATTGTTGATTATCCATGTTGAGCAAGACTTATAATTATCTTCTTGGTATTGGTTTATTATTGAGCACTGGCTCCAGTTGAGGTTCATTGTGAAGTTAATTGTTGGTACAAGTTTGGTTATAGCTGATTCCCTTGCCGGGATGTATTTTATTCTTGTTGTTGATTCCTTTGCCGGGATGTTGTTGTTGCTATTGTTTGGGTAAGGAAAGAGAGATAAAACACGAAGGGTGATGCCGTGCACATTTTCATTATTTGATTGCATTGGTGAGGATTGAGAGTAAAAGCACGAAGGTTGATGTCGTGCACTTATTGCCTGTTTGTTATGATCTTTTGTTGTTATCGGTTCAAGTGCCTTAATTGTCTTATTCCATTATTACTGTGATTTATGTGAGTATTTCCCCCATAGCATGTCATCCTTTCCCCGTTACTTTCGAATTGCTTCTATTACTGTTATTCTGCTAGATACTGTTTAACTGCAGGTTATTTGTTTGTTGTGTCCTAGCCTCGTCACTACTTCGCCGAGGTTAGGCTCGACACTTACTCAGTACATGGGGTCGGTTGTACTGATGCTATACTCTGCACTCTTTTGTGCATATCCCGGTACTGGAGCATATGGACATTAGCTAGGAGTTGCTGCCTTCAGTCTATCAGAGACCCGAGGTAGTCTTGTAGGCGTCCACAAGCCTTGGCGTCCCCTTCCTTTCTAGTTTTCTTTCTGTTCTTTTCTATTTCAGAGACAGACATGTACTTTCTTGTTCAGACCATATTTGTAGTTTTTCTTAGATAGTCTGTGAGATTGTGACACCAGTTTTGGGTGATTTATGTTTATGGACTCATATTGGTATTAGCTTAATTGTTAAATTTCGTTCTTTCGCATTATTATATCTGCTATTTATAATATTTTAACTTGTAATTATTAAGAGGTTAAAAATAAAAAGGGTAAATTAATCGGAATAGTTGGCTTGCCTAGCTTTCACTAGTAGGCGCCATCACGACTCCTGAGGGTGGGAAATTCGGGTCGTGACATTACTACAATTTCTGGTAGTAGTAAATTAATTGAAGGCTTTGGAAGAGCTACTATAACTCTGCCTAAGGGAATATACTTATCATAGAGAATACAATGTTCTCCTCCAAGTCCAAGAGGAACTTGTTAAGTTTTAAAGATATCCGCCGAAATGGATATCATATTGAGACAATAGATGAGAATAATCTTAAATATCTCATCATTACCAAAAATGTTTCTGGCCAGAAAAGGGTTATTGAAAAATTCTCATCTTTATCTTATGGCCTGTATTTGACAAGAATTAGTGAAATTAAGGCACATTCTATTGTAACGATTATGGGCGCAATTCCCCAATAAGCCAATTAAGTTTATTAGACTTGATAATGCTGGTGAGTTTTCATCCCAAACATTTAATGATTATTGCTTATCAATTGGGATAAAAGTGGAACATCTTGTAGCTCATGTTCACACTAAAAATGGCTTTGCGGAGTCTTTAATTAAACGTCTATAATTGATAGCAAGACCGTTACTCATGAAAACGAGGTTGCCCACTTCTGTTTGGGGACACGCCATTTTGCGTGCAACAATGCTAGTTCGTCTCAGACCGACAAACTATCATAATTATTCCTCGTTGTAATTAGTTTTGGGTCATGAACCTAATATATACCATTTAAGAATTTTTGGATAAGCAGTATATGTGCATGTAGCACCGCCATGTCACACTAAAATGGGCCCCCAAAGAAGGTTAGGAATATAAGTTGGGTTTGAATCACCCTTCATTATTCGCTACCTCGAAACATTAACGGGGGATTTATTCACTGCACGATTTGCAGACTGTCGATTCGATGAGACACTTTTCCGAAAATTAGGAGGAGAAAATGGTGAAAACAAACGGGAAATTTTGTGGAAAAATCCATCATTGTCTTATCTTGATCCACGTGCCTCTATTTGTGAAAAAAAAAAGTGCAAAAGATTATTCATTTGCAAAAAATAGTAAATCAAATGCCAGGTGCATTTACGGATCTGAAAAGGATAACAAAATCACATATCCCTGCAGAGAATGTTACAATCCGTACTGATGACCCTATTGGACAATCTTCTAGTGTCATAGCTAATGAGTTAAAAGCACGCCTAAAACATGGCATACCATTAGGTTCTAAGGATCGAAATCCTAGAAAACGGAAAACAAATGATCAAGATGACACTACAAAAGAGTCTCATGAAGAAATCCACGATTTAACCAATCCTTAGATTCATGAGGAAATCACTGAGCCTGAGAC